ATATATATATATATATATATATATATATATATATATAAATAAATATAAAATAAATATTATGTTGGGTTGAGTTTGATTGGGTTTGGAATAAATGACTATTCTACTATGCCTTTTCCAGATATGGGTAGTATTAATTCAAGTGCGAACCGTCTGATTTTGGATGTACTTAACTATGACCGTAAGGCTCTAGCTATTGAGCATGATGCATTGCTAACACATATGACCGATGAACAGAAGGGTGTTTATTTCAAAATAATGACATCTGTTCATTCTGGCAGGGGCGGCGTATTTTTTGTGTATGGTAATGGTGGAAGTGGAAAGACATACTTGTGGAGGACTTTAGCTGCTCGGCTAAGATCGCACGGTCAAATTGTGCTTTATGTTGCATCAAGTGGAATAGCATCTCTCCTGTTGCCGGGCGGACGAACTGCACATTCTCGATTTGTCATTCCTATTTCTGTGCATGAAAATTCATCGTGTGAGATCAATCAGGCTAGTCCCCTTGCCGAGTTGATTATTCGCTCTTCATTGATCATATGGGATGAGGCCCCAATGATGAATAAGCATTGTTTTGAAGCATTTCAATCATCTTTTAAGGCAGTAATGGGAGCCCTCGACCCGACAAATCATCATAAACCGTTCGGAGGCAAGATTGTTGTGTTTGGTGGAGACTTTCGACAAATCCTACTGGTAGCATTTGGGGAGAATTTACTGTGCTTAGGCTTACAAAGAATATGCGTCTTCAGGGCATTGGCGATTCGAATGAACGTGACGAGCTGAATGCTTTTGCTGATTGGATAGCGAGCACTGGAGATGGAACATTGGGGGGGGGGGTACAAATGATGGATGTTCTCCGATGACATACCAGATGATCTATTACTAGAGTCATCTGATGATCTAATTGCAAAAATTGTTGAAAGTACGTTTCCGATGTTCAAGAATGTAGTCGACGATCCAAGTTACTTGAAGGATAGAGCTATACTTGTGCCAACACTCGATATCGTAGAATCTATTAATGAATACATGTCGTCATTAAATTTTACTGGGGGACGCACGTATCTAAATTCAGACAGTACGTGTAAATCCGACTCCCATACCGACTTTCTGGCACAACTGCATACTCCTGAGTTCTTGAACACTATCAAGTGTTCTGGAACGCCGAAGCATGAATTGAATTTGAAGGTCGGAACTCCAGTTATGTTGTTGCGGAACATGATCACTCAATGGGATTCTGCAATGGTACACGATTGGTTGTGACTAAACTCTCCAATCATGTTCTCGAGTGTAAAATTCTTACTGGCGATCATGCAGGTGATAAAGTTTTGATACCTCGGATGACAAATAACTCCTTATGATATTAGAGTACCATTCAAATTTCAAAGAAGGCAGTTCCCCATTATGGTTCCGTACGCAATGACTATAAACAAGAGTCAAGGTCAATCATTATCGCATGTTGGCTTATTCTTGAAGAAACCAGTTTTTAGTCATGGTCGTCGTTGTCTCCCGTGTTACAAATAGAAAGGGTCTGAAAATTTTTAATTTGTAGAGAAGAAAGTTTGAAAGAAAATCAAACCAATAATGTTGTGTATAGAGAAGTTTTTAATAATATATGATTTTTGTTTATATTTTGTATTCCTCTATCCTCTTTCCATTGTAATTAAATTATTGATTTATAAAAAAATATTTAAAATAAAGTTTAAAAAAAAAAGTTTGAGGAAATGACCCCGCCGTGCTGCGCACGGGTACCATACTAGTAATGTTAACCAAAATGCATATTACTAAATGTGGAAATGCATAAGACTACGAATAACAACAACCTTTCCAAACACCCAACCATTCAACCACCCTAATATTTAATTACTTTCTCTCTCTTCCACATCATCAATAATCATCTCAACCACACCATTTCAATTTTGCAAGTTTATCAGCAACCACACCAACATCCAACCACAACCTTTTTTTTCATAATTTGATTTTATTTAATTATTATATTTTTTTATTTCATTTTATTTTAATTATTAATTAATTCTTTTATTTGCTTTGATTTAATATAATTATATAATTATTTTATTTGCTTTGATTTAATATTATTACAACACACAAGATGAAAAATTAAAAATTACAACACACATGAAATTTAGAACACTATTGAAAATATACGATTTAGTGCAAATTTACACTCTAGACCATATATGGTCTAGCGCATATATTCATATTTTAAAAAATGTTACTTTTTTTTATTGTATTAGTGCAAATTATGATAGATGTAACATTTAGTGCAAAGTTACACTCTAGACCATATATGGTCTAGCGCATATATTCATATTTTAAAAACTGTTACTTTTTTCATTGTATTAGTGCAAATTAAATGATAGAGAATTAAAAATTATATATTTATGTCAATTTAAAAATAAAAAATAAGTATAGCAAAATTGATCTCTATTTGTAGAGAATTAAAAATTATGAATTTTGGTATATTTATTTATTTTTTTATTTGATTATATAAAAAATATATTAGTTTAAAAATTATTAGAAAAAAAAAAAGATGAACCAATGGGATGGAGACAAGTGTCTCTATTCCATTGGTTACTTTATCATAAGACCAACTCAACCACTTAGTTGCCTATCCCCCAAAACACACCACCGGTCTCTCCTCTTTTCTCATTTTTTTTTTCCACCTGGACACACCAGGTCTCTTTATGGTTGTTGTTATTGGTAGTCTAACAGCATACCAGCTTTTTTGCGAAATAATGAAAATGCCCCTACTTAAAAAATCAAAAGTATTCATAATTATATAAATGCCACCACGCTTTTGACTGGTATTGTAGCGTTTGGTCGATTTAGAGCATTGATATATCACATCCATGGTTGTGGTTAGTGCTGTAAACGAACAATACCGTACCGAACTTGGACTTTTCGAGCTCATGCTCGTTTACATTCGAACAGTGTTCGTGTTCGTTTGTTTATTTTTCGAGCAAAAAAGTTTGTTCAAGCTCGTTCGCCAAAGTTCGAGTTTGTTCGTGCTCGAATAATTTAATACATAAACTTTTTAAATATGTTTGATTAACTCAAAATTTGTTCGTAGAATAAAATAAAAATATTTTTATATTTCAGATTTTTTATTAAAAAATTTTATGTACATATATAAAAATAAATAAAATATAGTAAATTTATATTTTTATTAGAAATTTATGTAAATATATATAAAAAATAAAATTATATTAAATTAATGTTCGCGGACATAATTGAACATTCCCGAACGAGCTCATGTTCGTTCAATTATTAAACGAGCCTAATTTTCTGTTTGAACTCGGCTCTATTAACAAACGAACGAGCTTTTGTCGAACACGAACGAACTTTTGTTCGCGAACATTCGGTTCGTTTACAATTTAGTTGTGATTTATATGTACACACACACACACACACACACTATTTTCCATTATTACTTGATTGTATTCAAGTGATAATAAGAAATATATGAATAAAATCAAGTGAGAAAGGAAGATAGTGTGTGTGTGTGTGTGTGTGTGTGTGTGTTTCCGTGTGTGTGTGTGTGTGTGTGTTTATAAAGGGACGACTTCTAGCGAAAATGGTTCTCGATGAAAGAAATAAGAATGCATCGCAGCCGTAAAATTATAATCCAACGACAAAAAAAGCCAAAAAAGTTATACTCATTAAGGGTATTTTTTACATTACTCCACCCTACTCAACCACTACCTATGGGCCCCACCCAACCCACCCCTCGTCTCCACCTCCTCTCACCTCCCTCTCACACACACACACGAACGCATTAAAAATACTAGAGTCGGCCGCCGTTTCCTCTTTCGAGAAGGGTCATTCTCAAGTAGCGCCACTGCCCATCCCACACCATCTCCATCGGTGACAAGCTCCCCACCGCCACGTTGTCCTATTACGATGTCGTTGGTGACTTGAAGTCGTCTCCATCTCCAACTTCACCTCCACCAAGAAGGTCATCACCCTCACCGTCCTCGGCACGTTCACCTGGCAGGGTTCGTGAATAAAGTCGATATGCTCGCAGAAGCACCTTCCAGGGTTCGTGGAACACCGCCAATTTCACGGCAAAAGGGATTGACAGCGCCGCCTCCAATCTCACCTCTCATGTGCGCTGCAGCAGGTCAGTGGGCCGTCGCCTATCGGCGGGTGAACGAGACGACGTATCGAATCCTGGCCGCAATTGCAAGGTGATGGTCGAGGTGGAGCCGGACGGGGAAGAATGTGTGGATTAAGGGGCTTCCCTTAGAAAATTAGATAAGTCATAAGGGCTTATCTCCAATATTAAAAATTTTAATTAAATTGCAATTTAGTTTATGGGTCAAAAACAATATAAAAATTATTAATATATATATATATATATATATATTTCATATATATATGTATTCGGTCCAAAGGACCCACCCGGACCAGACCAAACTCCGTGTTGACTGAGTCCTGAGCCAACAACCGAATTGGACCGGGTCTACATAAGTACGTAAATTATTGAATTTAATCATAAACATTGAATTTTATTGCAATGTTTATATGAAAGAAAATTGCAATGCTAGGCTATGTTGTTTGGTCTTTCTTAGAAGATTGCTTATTATTCAAATTTAGCGAAAAAGGCCTAAATATCCTAAATTAATGTTGACCTTTTCCAAAAAGATACGAATTCACAGTAAATAAGAAAGCTAAGACACACACATGAGAGACAGAAAAGATAGAAAACTTAGCCAAGTATAGAAAAAATTTTCTTCACAAACAAATATGAAACACAACTTAAAATGATAAATTACACTGATCACTTCTAATATCATTTTGTTTTTCCTCTCTACAATTCATTCATTCAATCCCTTGGAATTGAGCAGCTCTAATGGGTCTCAACTGTTTCCTTTTTGCTAACTAACTGGTGAAAAATACACTAAACATAAATTAGAACAAATCACAATTCAGCTAACACAAGTCCAAAGATCCACCACAACTTCATCCACCAAAACCTGTAGCAAAGACCTACTAATCTCCAAGCCCGTCTCGAACCCTTCATTCTCACACTCTGTCCAATCCTTCACCGAAAAACCCATCTCCCTCTCCACCAGCTTATCGAGACTATCATACCTCGAAAGCTCATCCCATCTCCTTACAACATCGACAATCTCAAATATCAGCGTGTTCATGTTCATCCTCAGTGGCAATTTTCTCGACACGCTCGATCCAAACTCACAGTGCTCCCCAAATCTCTCCCCCAAATATTCTATAACAGAATCGAAAACGAAAATTTTCAGTTGATTCACCTCCTCTTTGCCGTCCTCAACGCCAAGAAAATTACCGAAATTCATCCATAGCACGCTCATGAGTGTTTCCAGTTCGTCGATGATTAAATGCTTAATGGGACAGCCTTTTCCCACAAACCCGTCTGAAATTGATGCATTGTGGAGTATTAGCTCAGAGTTCAAAAGAGCCTCCTCTGCTTGGTCGAGCCTCTTTCCTTTTGGACCGTGGCTTGCGAGAATATCACAGCTCAAGATTTCGGAGACATGGTTAACGATATCATTGACGAATTTGTCATTATTCGTTGCTTGATTATTTATAGAGGCTGCAGCATACAAGAGCTCAAGATTAGACTTATTGTGCATTTTGCAGACTGTGATTAGAAGGATGTTTTATCTATGAATGCTAGTGGATAGGTGAAAACAAAATGAGGATATAGAATAGTGAACAAATAAAAATATGGTACTGATAAACATTAATTACAAATAGAACAATAACAAAATTTTTTTTAATGAGTTTTTTAAAGATGCAATTTTTTTTAGAAAGTAAAGCTTTTTTGGAATATTTTTTGCATCCTTCTTATGTAAGACCCGTTTAATCTTAAAAGGGCTTCTTGCACGAAATTTTGTTATTACCTAAGCTCTCATCTAGACTGGTAGAGTGACAGCTCTCAGCAGAAAAATAAGATTCAAGAACGGATCCAGGGCTCAGGCGCTCACTATCAAGTGGTGGCTCAACAGACGGGTTCACTGCCATTGCATTGTCCTGAAAGAGACAGATTTATAAGATGTTTATCGATATCTGCTAGAAAAAAATTGACTTCACAAGAACTTCAATGCACAATCATACACGATTACGCATACCACACAAAGTTACTATTTTTCTTTAATAACCAAAATTTACCAAGTGAATCTGCAAATGATGGTTTAGCCAGCTAGTACTCTAGCAAAATGACCAAAAAAATGTCGCATTGAATACATTTTCTGTTTAGCTTGATAACTTCATAGAGCTTTGCGGAGAGTTGAGTCGGCATTGCTGAGAAAAACTAATATTCTTAACTAAGGAGTCAATTATCTTGTTTTCTGCTTTTTTCCAAAGACCCGTCTTACTAATATAAAGAGAAACCAGACTGATGAGAGTAACCCCAAGTTACATTTTCTTAGCGTTTTTCTTAAGATTCAAAATTCCTCACAAAGTTATGATATATCAAGGAGAATGATCATAGGAATTCTTTTTTTTTTTTCCAATAAAAAGATATTTTGAATTACCTGTGAACTAGTGGAAGATGTCGAGTTAACTAACATGCTGTAATTACAGCAGCTACTTCGTCTATCAGAATAAACCGGTAGATTATTCTCCAGCCTTTGTTTCTCTGTAGTTAAGGCACATATTAGCTCCTGTAGTATCATCGAGGTAGTTTTCCCAGATGCTTTGCTCTCGAAACCATCCTTTTCATAATTCAATTCCTTCAACTTCTGCTGCAAAAGTGCACCCAAGGCATCACCAGTTAAAGGCAGTGGTTTTTCTAATTTCTTCCTCCCACCATTTCCTCCAGAATGCGAATCATATTTGTTCCTTCTTTCAGCAGCTTCGTGGACCCCATACTTGTACTTCACTGGAGATGTAAATGAGAAAGGAGCAACATTATCTCTCGATTCATCCATATCATTAATGACATTAGCATGTTTTCCGGGCATTACAGGAGAAGAACCAAAATTCCTTTGGGACCTTACAAAACCAGCGCTTTCTTCTACTTGTCTAGATACATTAGCCGGCCGCCTCTTTCGTCCAGGTGGCACCGGATCTTTGAGACCATAAGAAATCCTTTTCTCCATTCCAAATTTATCGTTTTCCATTCCAACGGGCAAATGGGCCTTACTGCTAAAATTCTTTGATTCACTCACATTGCCAGCCTTGGGCCTCAGAGAGCCCGAGGCCCTCGCCTGGAACGTGTGGATCCCACTTTCAGCCTTTATACTCGAACTAAACGCCAAAGGCAGAGCTTCTGAATTCCTCTGGACCGGCACACTGAATGGAATCTTGTACTGTGTGAACTTCACACGAGACTGCAATGAATCACCATCTTGTTTATAAAATGTTGTGGGCCTCGAGCAATTGGCAAGGATCGACGGCTTTTCACTAGCGGCATGTTTGGGCCCCAAATTATCCAGCAAATAGCCACAATTTCTGCAAGAGGACTGATAACAATCCACTGATGGGCCTGATATCAAGCGGGCCCTCTCGTCCATAACAGAATTCTGTAGAGGA